GGCTGCACAGCACAATAACAAAACAACAGGAATACATGTTAGCAATAATAGAATCTAGGTAGAGGCTCCATGAATCTCTCTGCAGTGTGTATTATTATGGTTATTATCTGCGGTACTGGACTTGAGCTCAGTATTATGACTTCTGTATATATCTCTAATTATTCCAAAATAAAAAGGTAAAGAAAATTCTTGGGGCTGGCAAGTTGGCTCAGTGGTAGCATGCTTGCCTTGCATGCATGAGGCCCTGGGTTCGATTCCCCAGCACCACATAAACAGAAAAAAGTAGGAAGTAGCGCTGTGGCTCAAGTGGTAGAGCAATAGCCTTGAGCTGAAGAGCTGAGGGGCAGTTCAGAGTTCAGCCCCCATGACTGAAAAAAAAAATCTTGGGCTATAGGGGTGGATCAAGAGATAGAGCACTTACCTAGCAAGTTATCAGGCCCTGAGCTGAGAACCTTAGTATGTGAGAAAAACAAACTCTCCAAGAAGTGAAAAAGCAAACTGCAACGGTTGTTACCAAGTCAAAAAATCTCCCACTGAGCCACCTTCCCAGCCCCCTCATTATTTTTATTTCCACCAAAATCTTCAATCCCTTAGCTCAAGGTTAATTTTATTTTTTTATTTTTATTTTTTGTCGGTCGTGGGGCTTGAACTCTGGGCTTGGGCATTGTCCCTCAGCTCTTCAGCTCAAGGCGAGCGCTCTACCACTTGAGCTACAGTGCCACTTCCGATTTTCTGGTGGTTTATTGGAGATAGCAGTCTCACGGTCTCTCCTGCCCGTGCTGGCTTTGAACCGTGATCCTCAGATCTCAGCCTCCTGAGAAGCTAGGATTACAGGCGTGAGCCACCAGCGCCTGGCTTCAAGGTTAATTTTAAAAGATTAAAGATACTAGGTACTGGTAAAGATACAGAACAAAAGGAACCAGTACATTATTGGTGGGAATATAAATTAGAATAGTCATTATCATTTTCAGTATGTAGGGTCCTGAGAACCAACAATGAGGCAAAGATAGTTAGGCCCCCCCAAAAGGTAGTTAGGCAAGACCCTATCTCAAACACAAGCAGAGCATGGTGGCTTATTTATGTAATCTCAGCTACTCAGAAAGCAGGAACCTGGGCAAAAGGACAAGACCTGATCTGACAAACTAAAGCAAAAAGAGCAAGGGGGCATGGCTCAGGTAATAGATTGCTTGTGACTTGTGAGTTCAAACTGTAGTACAATGAAAGAAAAGGAGAAGAAACAAAGCTACACTATAATCAGAACAATCATGCCCCTCCTTATTGGGCATCTCTGGGCCACAGGAAAGGAACCAAGGTGTGTAACCAACAACCTGTGTGGACTAAGGCATGACTCAAGTAGTAGAGCACCTGCAGAGCCAGCATGAGGCCCAATTCAAACCCCAGAAAGCCCCATCCCCTCAAAACAATCCCACAAGGAATGGGTAAAGAAAATGTGCCACACACATATATACACACACACACACACACATACATATATATGTATATTTATACATATATACAAAAAAATATATATATATACATATATACGTACCATGCAAATGCAATGTTAAATAATTGTTACATTATATTGCTTAGGAAATAATGACAATTTCTGTCTATGGATTTAGGACCTGAAGATACAGAGATCTGTAAGAAATCTATTTGAGCTTTAACGAACACTCTAATTCATAGCTTATGAATTATGAATAGTAACACTGAATGTTTAATTATAAAATGATTTGAACATGTGATTTCAAAGAGCTGTCTATGTGCTTGAGGCCCAGGGTCCAGCTACCAGTACCACGATCAACCACTCACTCCAATGGTGACGCATGCTTCAATTCTCTACAGAAAAAGGCCTGTTATGGACAATTAGCTCCCATGTATCCTACGTATTTGGACATTCTATTCCTTCACACACAAAAATATTACGTATAAACAAATGTTTTATTTACAGCAAACTTCATGAACCATCCAGATCAAATTAATTTAGAATTCGTGAAAAGTAAGAATGACTACTGGAGATACATGGAGGTACATTCTTCTAATCCTAGCCCTTGGCAGCTGAGAGCCTGGGGACCACATGTTGAAGGCCAGCCCAAGCTGTAGAGTAAGACCACTTAAAAAAGAAAAAGAGGGGCTGGGAAGGTGGCTCAGTGGTAGAGCGCTTGCCTTGCATGCTTGAGGCCCTGGGTTCGATTCCTCAGCACCACATAAGCAAAAAGAAAAAAGCCAGAGGTGGCGCTGTGGCTCAAGTGGTAGACCGCTAGCCTTGAGCTGAAGAGCTGAGGGACAGCGCCCAGGCCCAGAGTTCAGGCCCCACGACCGGACCCCCAAAAAAAAAAAAAAAAAGAAAAACAAATAATTTGTAGGAAACCAGTGACTAACACCTGTAATATCTAAGAATCAGGATTTGCACACAGCCCAGGCATGAGACCTTTATATCCAATTAACCAGCAAAAAGCCAGAAGTAAAGCTGTGGCTCAAGTGGCAGAATGCCAGTCTTGAGCATAAAAGAGAAGGGACAGTGCCCAGACCCTGAGTTCAAGCACAGGACCATTATAAAAAAATAAAATAGCCAGGCACTGGTGGCTTACGCCTGTAAAACTAGCTACTCAGGAGGCTGAGATATAGAGGTTCAAAGCCAGCCTAAACAGGAAAGTCTGCAAGACTCTTATCTCTAATCAACCACCAGAAAACCACAAGTGGCAGAGAGCTACCCTTGAGTTGAAGAGTGGAGGGACAGCACCCAAGCCACAAAGTTCAAGCCCCACAACTGACAAAAAAAGTTAAAAAAAAAAGTAAAAAAAAAAAAAGCAAACAAAACAGTGGCTACAATGGAAGAAATGGAAATAATTTAGTAGATGATTTTTATTTAAATGTAGCACTTTTTTTTTTTCTTTTGGATCTGGTTGTGGGGCCTGAACTCTGGGCCTAGGCACTGTCCCTCGGCTCTTCAGCTCAAGGCTAGCGCTCTACCACTTGAGCCACAGCGCCACTTCCGGCTTTTTTTCTTTTTGCTTATGTGGTGCTGAGGAATCGAACACAGGGCCTCAGGCATGCAAGGCAAGCACTCTACCACTGAGCCACCTTCCCAGCCCCATTAATGTAGCATTCTATATTTCTTCCTCCCCTCCCCTTCCCCCTTCCCCTTTCCCTCCTCCTCCTTATTTTGACTGTACTGGTGTAATCAGGCTCTCTGCTTGCTAGGCAGAAACTCTACCACTTGAGAGATGTCCCAGTCCTTGTTTGCCATTACTTTTCACACAGGATCTCACATTTTTTGCTCTAGCCCAACCTTGGACGATGATCTTCCAATGTCTGCCTCCTATGCAGCTGGATGACAGATAAATGCCACCATGCCCAGATTATTTTTTATTTTTGTGCCAGTCCTGGGGCTCGAACACAGAGTCTGAGTGCTATACCTGAATTTTTTTTTTTTGGGTCCGGTCGTGGGGCCTGAACTCTGGGCCTGGGCGTTGTCCCTCAGCTCTTCAGCTCAAGGTCAACGCTCTACCAGTGCCACAGTGCCACTTCTGGCTTTTTTCTTTATGTGGTGCTGAGGAATGGAACCCAGGGCCTCAGGCATACAAGGCAAGCGCTCTACCTCTGAGCCACCTTCCCAGCCCTATACCTGAATTTTTTTAGTCTAAGTTAGCACTCTACCACTTGTAGCTCCACTTACAGCTTTTTGCTGGTTAATTGGAGCAAGAGCCAGTGGGATGGCAGGATGTCACACCACTCTCAAATGGTGTGTTATTTAAAACTTCAGGTTAATTGGAGACAAGAGTCTCTCAGGCTTTCCTCCTGGGCCTGCCTTTGAACTGTGATCCTTAGCCTCCTCAGTATCTAGGATTTCAGGCATGACCATGGGTACCTGGCTCCAGATTACTTCTTGAAATGGGGTATCACTGATTTTTTAAAGTTTTGTCTAGGCTGGCTTCCAACTACAAGCTTTCTGATTTCTATGCAGGAACCCAGACTGTCCTGAACCCCAGTATACATTAAGACACTAACAACTAATAACAAACAAGTAACTGTTTTCAATAAAGGTAATGGTCTGGCAGACTATTTGTTTTGGCAGTAGTGGGGACTGATCTACGATACAGATTCATGTATATATGTATGCGTTTATATTTTTCAAGGTACTCTGCAGGATGTGTGTGTGCTGTGGTAGACACGGACCACTTGATTCATATCTCCCTTCTTTTTGTTTTCTTTCTTTTTTGATTTTTTTCTCCAGGGCTGAGGACCGAACCCAGGGCCTTGAGCGCGCTGGGCGGAAGCTCTTCGGCTGGGCTAAACCTCCAGCCCCTTGTTTTTGTTTTCAACTGGCCTTAAACTCATGATCATCTTGATTTTACTTCCTGAGTAGCTGGGATTACATGTGTACCATCATACCAGGTTAAACTCTTTTGTTTCTTGAAGTACTAGGAACTGAACTCAGTGTGCTTGACACTTGAGCCACACTCTTAGACCACTCAGGATGCATTATACTAGGGTTGGGCAGGTGGCTCAGTGGTAGAGTGCTTGCCTTGCATGCATGAGGCCCTGGGTTCGATTCCTCAGCACCACATAAACAGATAAAGCTGGAAGTGGCACTGTGGCTCAAGTAGTAGAGTGCTTGTCTGGAGCTGAAGAGCTAAGGGACAGTGCCCAGGCCCAGAGTTCGAGCCCCATGACTGAACAACAACAACAACAAGATAAGCTAACACAAGAGGAGAACTCAAAACAGTGCCTCTGAAAACCAGGTGTTAACTTCCTCTAAGGCAACACAGTGTGGAAGTAACAATAAAAACACAACTCTTCTGAAGAATTTAAAAGATTAAATTCCATTCTTCATTAAATTATCACTATGGTTCCTTACTTGAATAAAACAAAATTAAGATTTTTTTTTTTTTTGGAAAACAACAACAACAAATACTAAGAGAGAGAGTGAAGATAAACCAGTCTTATTAACGACTATGAAGTAATTTTTTTAAAAAAGGAGAAAAAAAACTTACCTCTATAGTAAAGATTCCTTTGTCTCGCCCATATAATTTCATCTCTTCTGGAAAATGCTGGTAAGCATTTATGTAGGGAATATGGTCCTCTTCAACAAATCTGTATTTCAAAAAGAGTCTCAATTAGAGTTATGTACTAACTAAGCAGAGTAAACTCTTCCTAATCTCTTTTCAAAGGGAAATTAAGAAATCAGTTAAGCAGCCAGGTGCTGGTGGCTCATGCTTGTAATCCTAGCTACTCAGGAGGCTGAGATGTGAGGATTGTGGTTCAAAGCCAGCCTGGGTAGGACAGTCCAGGAGACTCTTATCTCCAATTGACCACTCCCCTCCAAAACAAACAAGAAACCAGAAGTGGAACTATGACTCAAACTCAGGCACTGAGTTAAAGCCCCAGACTGATGCAAAAAGAAAAAGAAAAAAAGAAATCAGTTGAGCACATTCTATTTCCCATACATGTCCTCCCCCTTCCTCTCTTCATTCGTCTGCCCTCCCCCTTCACACCCCCTCCCCACACCTTTCAAATGTCAGTTTCCTGGTATTCATTTTATTAGACTGTTAGTTTTCTTTATTTTGGCGGTCATGGGGCTTGACCTCTGGGCCTGGGCGTTGTCCCTCAGCTCTTCAACTCAAGGTGAGCGCTCTACCACTAGAGCTACAGCGCCACTTCCAGTTTGGTTTTTTTTTTAAAAGGAATTATACCATTTAAATTCTCCCTTGTAAATACCACATTTCAGTTAATACATTTTCTAACATTTGCATACAACCCTGTATATGTTTACTTACACATTTATAAATTAACCCTACCTTCTATATTAAAGAAAACATATGTCCTTTGTCCCTCTGGGCCTGACTTATTCCACTTAACACAATGTTTTCCAGATCCAGCAGTTCACCTTTTTCTTCTTTTTTTTTTGTGTCAGTGGGGGAGGGGGGGGCCCTTGAACTCTAGGCCTGAGCACTGTCCCTCAGCTCTTCAGCTCAAGGCTAGTGCTCTACCACTTGAGCCACAGCACTACTTCTGGTTTTCTGGTGGTTAACTGGAGATAAGAATCTCACGGACTTTCCTGCCTGGGCTGGAAACCCAGACCTGACCTGAGATCTCAGCCTCCTGAGTACCTAGGATTACAGGCATGAGCCACCAATGCCTGGTTTAGCTCCTCCATTTTTAATGGATGAATAGGACCAATCATTATCATGTCTACACTTCTGTATGTGAGACCACTTAGCCAGTAAGTTAAAGCAGATCTAGGAAGTGTGTCTGCTGTTATTTCACCACTAGCCTTCCTAATCCAGCATTCACCCTGTCCCTAGCTCCTTCAGCTGACTGGCTCCCAGTCTTCCTGTTCATCCTCTTCCCTTTGCTCTCTGGTTTTCCTTGACAGTATGCCTCCTTGTGCCCTTAGCACCCTGGCAGAGGCTGGAGGAACCATTAGGGAAGGAACCTGGGCTGTGTGCTTACTTTTCCATTCCCATCTCTTATACACAGTAGCTCAAACAGGTTGAGTCAGGTATTCAATCTGAAAAAAAAAAATCACACATACTTCCAGGTGGGTAAGTAGAGTTATTTACAACTCACACATTCATCCACAGAAATTCTTTAACGACTGTACGTGCAGCGCCACTCAAGGTAGCAAGGACATAGCAGTGAGTAAAGCAGGTAAACAGTCCTGTTGGCATGAGATAGCAGTCCAGGGAGAAAGCTGACCAACACAGCAAACCAGTGCGTCTGTACATGTTAGGTAGGGAAAACAGGAGAAAAATTAAGCAGGGAATGTGAGTAGAGGGGTCTTGTATGCTTATATACAATAAGATAAGACGCAGAAAGGGAAATAAGACAGAACTAGCAGTAAGCACACAACACAGAAAGCCTGTCTCTGCTGTCACCAGCCTCTGACATCCCGGATGCCAGTTTTCTAGAACTTAAAGAACAAGATCAACCCAAATTTAATTTTTTTTAACAAAGGAAATTGGAATTTTTATTTTGCAAAAATCTTGTTCCAAGACAAACAAAATAGTTTAAAAGCCAGAATTAGGAGAAAGAACTAGTTTTTAACGAGAATCTCATTGAACAGAACCCTGACTTAGAACTGAATCATAACTGATTGTGTAGTCTGTGAAGAAACAGAAAGCAGTAGATTTTTAAAGTGACATCATCATCAACATGAAAATGCTGTGTTCTATACCTCTCACGGGTAAGAGCTGTGACCCTGACACTTCCTCATCCTCGCCTCCGCTGAAGCCTGGTCCATCAGCGCCTGGTGCTGCTTCTGACCTGTCCGTTCTAAAGCCAAGCCAGTGGCATCTGAGGATTTGAAACGCCCACCTTTGTTCATGCGAAGCTGTTTGGGCCACTGAGTTCCGTCCTTACATCTTTTAATTTTAAAATTCTTTGTCATTGCCTTTCCTCCACTTCTCCCACATTTACTGTCATAACTTTGACTGCTTGTGCTTCACACATTTTGCAAATTAACTGTCTCTTTCTCTCCACTCCTCTCCTCTTGCAATCCACAGAGCCCTCTGGAATCTGTTCTAAGATAAACATTCCTCATCTCTTTGTGAATGTGCTTCTCTGACTTATGGTCAGGAACAAGAATTCCTCTCTTCACCAGGTCATTACCTCTAGAGCAGGGCCTCTCTCCTCCCATCTGTCAATCACTCCAGAGCCTGGCCAGGGAGTTGCCACTGTTCTCTACCTACTTGTCCGCTGAGTAACCACTTCAGTTCAGTGAGGATTTACTAACTTGATTCATGCTTTTCATCATATTGCTAGACAGAGACCTGGAGGCAGATGACCCATGGCAATATACTTTCCGGACCTTCTCAGTGTAGCTTCCTTCAATCTCTTTGCTTCTATCACCACACATTTCCAGGACATACCCTTGTTACCACAACAAGTTTCATGTTTAGTTTGTCCCATCCACATACTAGCATCCACCATTTCCCCTTCTGTTAGGCCTAATTTAATTTCTAGTTAACGCTATGACTTCTGTGACTCTTAGTATACTGAAAGTTGAGAATTAAATACGTTAAATTAAAAAGTGTGAAATATTCCCCCAGCTGGGTTTTCATTAGCTTATATGAATGCACTTATGCACTGAAATCACTATTTATATTATTTTAGAACTACAATTTTGGTTTAACATTACTATGTATACTCATGTTGTAATATATGGATTCCTATGCTAATATACTATTATTTTGTCCTCCATGTGAAAGCATGGGCAGTGTGCTGGGAGTTCTGAGATGAATAGGAGATGGAAGAGTATACCCACCCTACCCCACCCACGACGTGTCAGCCAGACAGCCTGCAGATGAGCCAGAAGAGGCGCTAGCTACCACGAGTGCACCCAGTGCTGCAGCAGCAGGGCAAGAACAGGGAACCTGCCTGGGGAAGCAGACCGCCCCAGGGCCCCGGGGCAGGTGAAGGCTGGACAGTTATTCACCACTCTTAACTGCTTTTTAAAGCTTTTTTTATTTGAAATTCACTTTTAGAAGGTAAAATTCTTTTCTGACGTGATGGCTACTGAATCAAAGTTCTGAACAATCTATTTCCATTGGTAGGTATTCATTACCAGCTGGTTTTCTGGATCAATCCAGGAAGCTGACTGAGAAATGGGCACTGACGGAAAGCATCCCAAATGTTGCTTTTTCCCAGCAGAGGACTACTTCAGTGATGTCCCCAGAAATAGTCTCTACTTAAATTTTATTATACTGTTTTCAAAGCTGCAGATCATTTAAGCAGCAGCTTTACAGGAGTTATGTAGGTGAGTCACATATATGCAAAACAGGCCCTGACCTATTTTCTTCCCAGTTCCCTCACTACCACTCCATCCAAGCCACCATCTCTTGTTAGAGGACAGCAAGATTCCATTCTTCCCTTTGAAGAACCCATCTGCTACCTGGGTGATCTTTTAAAAACACATATCAGATCACACCTCCCCTGTTGCAGCCTTCCAATGGCTTACAATCACACTTTGGTACCCTGAGTTCTAGTGGGCATAAGGTTTCCTGTTGGCACAAATGTACTGAAAACCTTTAACTTGCAAAAAAGAGTGAATTTTAGCTCATATAAATTATATTTCCACTTGCTAGCCTTGAGGAAAAAAGAGCTCAGGGACAGCACCTAGGCCCCAAGCTCAAGCCCTAGAACCAAAGGGGTTGGGGGAGAAATCCCTCACTTACAGACATTCACCTGCCCTATTTTCATCTCTCTGCCATCTCTCTTCTCCTTCCTCATCTGAATTCTCTTCCTTGGGTCACATTACTCAATTTCCTGTTCCTTGATCATATGAGCCTGTTCTTGCTTTGGGGTCCTCTATTCTGAGTGTAGAATGTGACCTAGGGCCCCGCAGGCTGCCTGTTCTCTCACTCATAGTGCACCTCAGTTTCCACCCTCCCTAATAGCCTGTCTAGAGCAGCTATCTAGTCATGCTCTCTGCCTCATCCTGGAGCAGTCTTACACACTGCACTTCCCTGTCAGATCCACTTCTCATTTATTTATGTGTTTGCTCACCTGTATCTTCCTCTAGTCTTGAAATTCAGGAGAACAGGGACTTGACCTACATACTTAGTTCAAGGTCTGAACTTTAGACCAATATCTGAATATAGTAGAGTCAATTAAATAATTGTAAAGTGAAGGGTCCTTTACAGGTATGTGATGAGATATAAATTGATCCAAAGGACTATGGACACTGACTGATACAAGCCTTAAAGGAGAATGATGTACAAACAATGGGAGATGCATAGGCACTATGGTGAGGCTAATACTTCACTGTCTTCAGATCCATTTTCTTAAGTTGTTTTTCAAAGCTTGGCAGTAGTTCTCAACATTTAGCATCCATGATCCTTGGGAAGATTTATTACAACAGAGACTACAGGCCCTACTCCCAGAGTTTCTGTTTGGAAAGGTCAAGGATTTACATTTCTATCATGTCTCCAGATAATTCTGAAGTGGCTGGTCAGGAAGCCCTATTTTGAGAACCTGACTTAGAATTCTTTCCGAGAGAAAAGCAGATCAAGAGCCCCTTCTCCTATTGCCCCAAGCAATGTTCAGTTCCCAACTTGTACACTCGTAGCAAAATAAAAGCAAAGCCCTCTGGCTAAGGAGATCCAATCACCTTAAAAGTATTTTAGAATATCTTCTAAAAGGTATTCTAGGGGGAGGAGGTTAAGAGGAAAGGAGTAGAGAAGCAAGGGAGAGAGTGGATCTTAACAAACTCCCCCCTCCCCCACCCCCCCTTTGTTTGTACTGGTCCTGGGCATTGAACTCAGGAACAGCTCCACACATACTTTCCTGTCCAGGATGGCTATAAACTACTGTCCTCAGATCTCAGCCTCTATTATAGCTAGGATTACAGGTGTCCAGCTCTTAATCCCATTCTTCCTCCCACATAAAATATTCTCCCTTAGAAGAATTTCAGTAACTACTTTCTCCCACTTAAGATTTATAGACCTTGCTGTCCACTTACAGATCATCCCGAGCAGGATAGCTAGCTCCTTGATCTGGCTTGGAAGACATGATTAGATTTATGTTTTTAAAAGATCCTTGTGGTTATCAGGAGAAAATGGACAGGAATGACACAAGACTGTAGACACAAGAGCTCTCTTGGGAAATCATGAAGTAATTCAGGTGAGGACAGAGATGCATGCAGGGCATGGAGAAGAGAATGGCTCTGAGTGTTACTTTGGAAGTATGATTGCTCAGACATAATGGCTGACAGCATGCTGTTCAGAGACTAGGATGATCACTAGGTTTCTGGACAAAAACAGGCCAGGCTCTATGGCATGTGCTAAGAACAAGAACACTGAAGAAGGAGCTGAACTGCTGACTTCAATACACCACAAAGACATCCACGTAGCTGTGTGCAGCTGGCAGCTGTAACATGAACACATGGCTATGACCCTCCGCAGACAAGTCTGGGCTAGAGATAAAAATATGGGAGTCATCAGCATATAGATGATAATTAAAGCCTTGAGAGAGGATGATATCATCACCCTGTGAGGACATACAAAGCATGATGAGGTTTTCAACTTACGAGTAAAATTCACTGAATCATGAGCTATCTGCATGCAGTTAATCACACTTGAGAAAAGCCTTGTTACTTGCTTGATGTGGGCAAATTCAAAGGCTCTACCATCATTACTAGAAGCACTTTATTTAATAAAAGGGCCTGATGACAACGATGACAGCGATGGTGAAAACAAAAACAACCATGACTAGTACTGAGCTCTTCCTATGTTCCAGACACAGTGCTAAGCGCCTCTGTGTAGTACTAATTACTGAAAGTAGTTACAACCCTATGAGGTAGTTCTTATTATCAGCCCCATTTACCAGTGAGGAAACAGGCAGGGAGAAACTGAAATACTTCCTCAAGGTCATATAGTGAATATGCAGCAGAGCCTGGAATTTGTTTCCATATCTGTGTTCTTATAAGCACTCTATACACTGATTAAACCTAACATCATTCAGAATATGTACAAAGGAGACCTTGACAGAGAGTACATTTCAGAATTCTGAACCCAGGATAACCAACTTTTCTAGTACCTCCCTTATTCCAGGACTTCTTGCCAGGCACCAAGGGCTCATGCCTATAATCCTAGCTACTTAGGAGACTGAAATCTGAGGACCACAGCCAGTACAGGCAGGAAAGTCCATGAGACTCTTATCGCCAATGAATCACAAAAAAAGCCAGAAGTGTACGATTTATTGAAACAAATTTCAGGAAATGGAAACATTTTTGTTTTGTTTTTGAAGTTACTGTTGGTGGTGGTAGTGGCAGTATTTGTTTTTGCTTTTAGATTTCTTTTCTTTGGGGGGGGCAAAGGAACAATTATGCTATTCAGTATATACTATGTGCACAATAAACTATGTAATTTGTGGGTAGGGACAGGAGGGGGAAACTGGGGGAAAAGAAAAGAAGAGGTGACATTGTCCAAAAAGAAATATACTTATTACCTGACTTATGAAATGGTAACCCTCACTGTATAGCTCCTCAATAATAACAATAAAATTGTATTTTTAAAAAGTCAGCAGTGGGGCTGGGAAGGTGGCTCAGTGGTAGAGTGCTTGCTTTGCATGCATGAGGCCCTGGGTTCGATTCCTCAGCACCACATAAGCAAAAAGAAGAAAAGCTGGAAGTGGCGCTGTGGCTCAAGTGGTAGAGCGCTAGCCTTGAGCTGAAGAGCTGAGGGACAGCGCCCAGGTCCAGAGTTCAGGCCCCATGACCGGACCCAAAAAAAAAAAAGTCAGCAGCATGCTGGTGGCTAACGCCTGTACTCTTAGCTACTCAGGAGGCTGAGAATACTCAGAAGTATTGCCATTCAAAGCCAGCCTGCGCAGGAAAGTCCATGAGGCTCTTATCTCCAATTAACCACCAGAAAACCGGAAGTGGCAGGCACTGTGGCTCAAGTGGTAGAGCATTAGCCTTGAGCTGGAAGAGCTGAAGGACAGTGCCCAGGCCCTGAGTTCAAGCCCCATGACTGACCAAAAAAAATAAAAGTCAGAAGAGGAGCTGTGGCTCAAGTGGTAGCATGCTAGACTTGAGCACAGCACTGAGGCCCTGAGTTCAAACCCTAGTACCACTAAAAAAAAAAGATCCAAAGGCCATTCCCTTAGTTCACATAGGTATCCAGCAGAAGCATCATGCAGTAAGTTCAGCTTACCTCAGAAGATCTGAAAGAGCAATCGCCTCTCTCTGCCACAGCAGAGCCAGACCACAGAGAGCCAGCGTCCGCGGCACAGTCATCTTCACGATGCCCTTCTCCTTCCGGTCTGAGTACTCGACTCCATCAAGAGAGCCCGAACAGATGAACACAGACTCTTAGGGGGAAAAGCAAGATTTTTAAAAAATCAAGTAACTGTTCTAGGTAACAAAATAACAGGAACTGAAGACATCTCAACGAAGGTTATAATTGAGCACCTTTGCACACACATTTTGGCACTAATGCACAATGAAGGTTTAGAAGGAAATGAAGCAAACAGGCATGGAGTCATCTGTGAGAGCAGGAGGGGATGGGACTCCAAAGAGAGATTTGAATGGTTTGAATTTTTCAATGGAACCGTGAACGATTTTTCATCAATAGAAGGATGAACAATTACAAAGCAAAGTGAAACATGAGCGAGTCCTTTAACCCAGGCGTCATTTTATAATAATGACCTCTTCTCAGGGGGACCCTGAAGCTGTCAAGCTACAGCAGCACCTGCTCCTTCCCATCTGCCAGGCCCCTTACATGACATTACTGTAGTCACAACTGCTCTGTCAACAAGTACATATTTATCTCGTTCTCTGAGTTTTTTTATTTTTGTTGGTCGTGGGGCTTGAACTCTGGGCCTGGGCACCGTCCCTGAGCTCTTCAGCTCAAGGCAAGCGCTCTACCACTTGAACCACAGCACTACTTCTGGTTTTCTTGTGGTTCATTGGAGATAAGAGTCTCACTGACTTTTCTGCCTGGGCTGGTTTTGAATGGCAATCCTCAGATCTCAGCCTCCTGAGTAGCTAGGATTACCGGCACCTGGTTTCTGAGTTACTTTTTGAGGTCTGGGGAAATGATAGTGAGCAATATCTTGTCTCACTCAGAACTTTCTAGTAAACATAATGGACAGATGGTGCTGCATAGAAAAACAGCAATGGAAGGGATTCACCGATGGGGAGGGAGGCAAGGAGGAGAGAGGTGTTCTTTACATGGGTGGTCAGAGAGAGACCTCACTGGGAACATGACATCTAGGCAGAGGTCTAAAAGAACTCAGAATCAGTCCTGAGGGAAGGACACTAAGCACACCAGCAGAGATAAGGCAGAAGTGGGGTGTGGGGAGGAGCAAGAAGGCCAGCGAGGGGGGAGCTCCAAAAGTGAGGGAAAGTGTCAGAACACTATAGAAACTACAGTAAGAAACTACAGTAAGAAACTACAGCAGATCCTTGGCGCCCCCAGCATATGGCTCCCAGCAGACCCCCACTAAGGAAAACTTGTGAATGCTCACAATGAATGACTCCAAAGTTCACTACTCTAAATGATATCCCTGTACTGTACAGGCAGAAGATGACAACCCCTAACTCGACAGTGGGTGGAGTAGGCTTCATCACTGTCACAGAAATTACTGTTGGTACACATTCACACTGCTCTTCATCTTTTGTGCAGATTCTTGGTTCATTTTTTCCTATAGGAAGACACTCGTAGCAGATCACAAAAGTGACGAAGCCACAGCAGACGGTAATGAAGAAGAGCCTTGACTGAACTATGTCACATGTGCATAGGAACCTAACATTTTTGTTTGTGAAATTTGCTTTTTTATTTCAAAAAACATTTTTACAATATGTTTGGTCAAAACCATACATCATAAACCTACACCTAAGGAAGGCCTCCCGTGTATTATGTAGTTTTGTGGAGCATTTTAGTTTGGATTTTATTCTAAGCATGGAAAGAAATGTCTGGAGAATTTTAATATGAGAACAGTACAATCTCCGTAGGGAGAGACAGGAGGAGACAGGGGGCAGGTCGCTCTTCCACAATGTTTGACAAGGAATGGCCCCAAGCACCTGCACTGTAGGTGGAGAGAAGTGGCTGAATTCTCCCACATCTGAAAGCAGACCCTACAGGATCTGGTGATTGTTTGGATGGAAAGTTTCAGAGGAAAAAAAGAGACAAATTTAAGTAGAAGGCTTTCAAACTGAGAAATAACAAGAATGAAGAGACAAGGGAGATGACTAAAGAGCAGGTGTGACAAGAGAAGTCACTGGCCAGGCATGTGACATTTGCTTATAATACTAACACTTGGGACTCAGAATTGAGAGTTCAAGGCCAAACTGGATCACACAGTAAGACCCTGCTTTAAAAAAAAAAAATCAGACTGCATGTTTTATTGGAGACAAGGTCTTGCTATATAGCCTAGCTAGGCTCAAACTTGTGATCTTTCTGTCTCTATCTCCAGAGAGCTAGAATTACAGTCATGTACTACCAATCTCAGCCAGAACAACAATGTTAAGTGTGAGCTCTTTTTAAATATGACAATGGAAATGGTGAACAGGTAACTGAATCTCAAAATCCTATTATTAGTAAGCCAAAACAAAAAGGATCTACACAATGAGACTCTATCTGAAAGAAAGAAAAAAAAAAGGAAGAGGAAAGAAGGAAAAAAGAAATGGGGGGCAGGGAATGAGAAAAAACAAACAAAAACCGAGCAGCAGGAAAGTATGTGAACAGGTGATTACTGCATTGACTGACAGAACTAGATCCAAGCCAGCAGTGGGAAGGCAAAACAAAAGCAACTTTTCACTAGGGAAACCCTTAAAGAAGGTTCAGGCACTAGTCAAACCATATAGCCAGGAAAGTAGAAGGAAGGAGGACTAACACCAGGAAGAGAGCTTGAAAGTCTGATAGATTCTTACCCCAAGTTTATGGTGACTGTGACTAACTTTTCCAACCACAGCAGAACACTGCAAGTGTTCTTTCAGGTTTAGAAAGTAAGACAGAGTCCCTAGAAGAGGGTGTGTCAGTCCATACACAGGGCAGAACTGAAAACTGGAGGATTAAGTTTACATACTGAGTACTTCAACAACTCCCCACTCCCCTTCTTCCCACCCAGTTCCCAGAACACTGATAGCCAAGATTATGCGCTTGCAAAAGAGACTACTCAGAGAGATTTCTCTGGAGAATCTGATCAGCTCAGGGGGGAAAAGATTTTAATATGATAATGATTGAGGATCACCAAAAAAATAACCCAGCTAGCTCATCCCTGGGTGTGGAAAAGAGCAGACAAGACTCACCGTGGGTTCTTCTCCTTTTTTCCCAGGGCCAAAGTCATGTGTATACAAAACCCACATTCTACCAGAAAGTCCATTTCTAAACAAAAGCCATCTTAGGCTCACTACTTAAAGAAAGGCTCTAATATTAAAAGACCCATAAAAAACAAAGGGACAAATAATATCCTTTGTGAAATTACAAACTAAAAGGTGTTCCATGCAAATGGGTGAATTAACCAGGAAAGAAGATGAAAATAGGGCCCAGGAAAAATGTAATATATAGGGAGGTGACAGGATCTCAGGAAGGCAATAAGAAGAGATCATGAGGCCAGCTGGGTCACTGTGTCTAAAGACACTGCTCTAGAGCAGCGAGAACATTGAGATTCCTAAGAGGCTCCTTTCAAATAGTGATAAGGTAGAGAAAGGAGATTCTAAGAACTGGTAGGAAAACTGAAGATATACTAGAAACAAATTACGATTAAGCAATAAATAGAAAGTGAAATAAATAACAAAACAAAAATGATCAGATCCCAGGCTGGATGCTGGTGGCTCACACCTGTAACTCTAGCTACTCAGGAGGTGGAGGTTGGGAGGATTATGTGCAGAGGCCAGCCCAGGTAAAAAGTTTACAGGACTTCATTTCAACTGATAGCTGGGAACAGTGGTACATACTGTCATCCCAGCTGTGTGAGAGACGGAGATCAGGACAATCACGACTTCAAGTCAGCCTGAGCAAAAAAGTTCATGAGACCCTATCTCAACAATACAAGCTGACGTGGTGGTGTGTACAGCAGGAAGCATAAGTAGCAGGATCGTGGTCCAGGCCAGCCTGGGAAAAATAAGACTCAATCTCAAAAATAACCAGAACAAAAGAGGACTGAAGTGTGATGCAAGTGGTAGAACATCTGCCTACGAGTGTGAAGCTCTGAGTTCAAACCCCACCAGCACCACAATTTGCTCCAGGAAAACCAAAGGATACACACAAAATACGGTAACCTTAGTTAACTACATGTTTTAGTTAAGAATAACATTTATACATTTACAATCATTTGACACCAAATAATGTCGTAGTAAAATATTGCACCAAGAAGAATGAAACATACAGTCATGCTTTGGTGCCTATGTGGGGAGAAGAGGCAGTGAGGATGCGCCAAGGAGCTAACGCTTCATCATCCACCGTGGGAAGTCTTCCCCATCTCACGCATGTGATACAATGGTGGGCAAGTTACACAACTGTGGAAAGTAAATGCTTCTAGGAAACAGAACATTTTGGGGGTCAAAAGACTATACGTCTGTTATTAATATTGCTGTAATTTTTCATAACAAGATGGAAGACTATCTGAATTACATATGTAGAAAGTGTTGGTGAAATTATCTAAAGAAGAACGATGCCAAACATGGTACCTCATGCCTGTAATCCTACCATTGAGGAGACTGAGACAGAATGATTTCAAGGCCAGCATGGGCTACTCCCTGAGTTCAAGGCTAGACTGAGGGATATAGTGAGATGATCACTCAAAACAACACTATCAAGAGTAAAGAATGAAGGGATAGTTCACATTATGAACAAGATAAAACAATAAAAACTTTTACTTTGCTCCATATGAAGAAGAAACTTTCTGGCTGATCTATTATAGCAGTAGTGGTTATTTTGGGGTACGGTAATGATTTTATTGTCTTTGAAACGGTCTTCATTTCATAGGATTATATTGAGTTGTTATACCCATAATTTAGTTATTTCATTCTAAGAACTAAAACAAAGCTCTATAGATTAAGAAAAAAAAAAAAGCAACAAGCAAGCAGCACTAGGGGCATGGGTCAAGTGGTTATAGCACCTGCCTAACAAGTACAAGTTTACAAGCAAAACAAAGTAGGTTAGGAAAGCAATCAGAATACATCAGAAAGAACTATCTTTTTTCCCCTGAAAGGACTGGATGATTTTAGAGTGGTAGTCTTCTAGTCTCCTGGGACCATGTTCAGGCTTGTCAGAAAACATGAAGGAGAAAACTCCAGAGATTCATTTCTGTTCAATAATTCTTTTCCTTTACTTTCTTTTCTTTTTCTTTTCAGCCATAGGGCTTGAACTCAGGTCCTGGGTGCTGTCCCTGAGCTCTTTTGCGCAAGGATAGCACTCTATTACTTTAAGCCACAGCACCACTTCCTGTTTTCTGGTGTTTACTTGGAGATAAGAGTGTCATGGTAACTTTTCAGTCCAGGCTGCCTTTGAAATGCAATCCTCAAACTGAGTGCCAGTGGCTCCAGCAGGTAATCCTAGTTACTCAGGAGACTGAGATCTGAGGATTGCCATTCAAAGCCAGCCCAGGCAGAAAAGTCAGTGAGACTCTTATCTCCAATAAACCACAGAAAACTGTGTAGCTCAAGCAGTAGAGCACTTGCCTTGAGCTGAAGAGTGCAGGGACAGCACCCAGGCCCAGAATTCAAGCCTCACGACCTATGACAACAACAAAAAAAAGTGCAATGCAATCCTCAGCCTCCTGAGTAGCCAGGATTACAGGCATGAGCCACAGGCAGGCACTTGGCTACTCCTCAATTATTCTAAGACTCTAATACTACACTTCTTCAAGACAAAAAGTTACTCATCTGACACGTGTGTCCCTGTACAGTCCAGAAAGAATTGAGGAGGAAGCTTGCAAAACCAAAATAAAACAATGTCTAGATAAGGACTTTATCCTTACGTTTAAAACTCACATAACCATATTTAACTCAATTTCAATAAAAATTCCCAACATCAAAGGAAGAACACTATCATCACACATCAAGATTCTTGTAACTGGGATTGCAAGCGTGGCTCAGTTGGAAGAGCACCAGCCAATGAGCAAAAGCGGCAGGCACCAAGCTCAAGTCTTGGTCTTGGACCTACACAACAACAACAACAACAAAAAGAAAGAAAGAAAGAAAAAAGAAAAAAAAAATCCTGTAACTTAAAAACCTGGTAAGTCCACTGAGGTGCTTTCCACCACAATTATGTTTTTAAAATGTTGCAAAATGTTGCAAGGGAATAACTAATGTGAATACATGCATTAGAGAAAAGGTCTGTATTTATAAACTTAAATGCACATCTTGTCTATTTTAAGTTAGAGGATTAAACCAGAAAGTAGACATATAAAATTGTTTATGTGTAAACTGTACTTAGCTTGTTTTAGTCTATGCTTAGTAATTGGGCATATCATCTTTGGTTCTTGTCTATTTCATCATGTGATAAAGGTGTAACATTTTTCTGGGTCAACTTTATTTGAAAACTCTAAGCTTAGATGTATGTGTTGGTACTGGGACTTGAACTCAGGGCCTGGGCTCTGTCTTCCTATGTGTGCTCTTGTTTGAGCTGGTCTTTCTGAAACCACTTCATGTCCTTGAAAACCACACAAAAACACTTTCCTGGAAGCATGCCTTTTTAAAAATTGTGCTGAGAGTTTACTTAATTCACTTTCTTTTAGCCATAGGATCTGGCAAGTCATTTTTCCTTGCTAAACCAAGTTCTCTTCCTTAAATTATCAGAAACTAGGACTCAATTATTCTTTTTTTTTTGGGGGGGGGGTCCGGTCGTGGGGCCTGAACTCTGGGTCTGGGCACTGTCCCTCAGCTCTTCAGCTCAAAGCTAGCGCTCTACCACTTGAGCCACAGTGCCACTTCTGGCTTTTTGCTTATGTGATGCTGAGGAATCGAACCCAGGGCCTCATGCATGCAAGGCAAGTGCTCTACCACTGAGCCACCTTCCCAGTCCAGGACTCAATTATTCTTACGGTGCAAAATAGCTTTAAAATTCTCAACAGTCTGGTGGTTACGTTTACCTGGTTGTGTTGCTCTGGTGCTGGGGAAATGCTTTGCGGTCTGGGAGTCAGACAGAGACTCGGCTCCGCTTTCAGGAGCCCAGGTAGAGTCGCTGAGCAGCTCAGGCTCGCTAGCCCAGTCTGAATGTGGCAGATTATCTTCTAATACCTGTTCACAAGATAATGTAAATAAGTTCACTGCAAAAGTGTGTAGAACGGTTATTTCTGTGAATTTAAGCAATCCCTGGCCACTACAAATACCATACGAGAAACCACTTCAGAGAACTGCACTGTCAGCTGAGTCCTTGCCTCTGAAAGACCTTGCTGTTGGAACACAGTCCCTGACAGCGGCCACCACATGCCTCAGGTCCCTGCGGTCTTCTGGAAGACCCCTCTGCAGCACTAGTGAGAACAGGGTGAGAACGGTGAAGCACTGAACATCCAGCATGACTGCATACTGGCTTCTGTCTATTGAACCTAGCTGGGAATTTTTACTTTGTATCTTGCTAATTCCATTTCTTCTGTCTGAACTGTGTCTTCTCCTCCCTCTTTTCAATTCATTACTGCTGTCTTTCTACCTGATTCTTCTTCAATGATTTTCCCGTAGCACTGTTAATAGCCTGTAACTGACAAGAACATACTCTCATACCTTTGATTATCAGACATGTACTACTGAAATGGTAGTGTCTCTACAAAAGCTGGTATTACCTTGAGGAACTGGTCAAAATAAAAAAGCCAGTGGCTCACGCCTGTAATCCTAGCTACTGAGGCTGCAATCTGAGGATTGTAGCTCAAAGCCAGCTTAGACAGAAAAGTCCAAAAGACTCTTATCTCCAATTAACCAGAAAAACAAAACAACAACAACAACAACAAAAACCCTGGAACTGTGGCTCAAGTGGCATAACACTAGCCTTAACAAAAAAAAAAAGAAAATTAAGGGACAGCTCCCAGAACCTGAGTTCAAGCCACTCACCCCCCCAAACTGATTTGTTTAGAGGCTTCCAAGAGAATGAAGCAAAACCCATCAAAGGATGGGATACTGCAAGCATCCTCTGCCAAGCACCTCCCCTCCCGGTAGGCAGGCCACACGAGGGGAGAAGTATGTCATAAATCGGGCTGAGAATCATGGGCTCACTAAGAAAAGTGAAGCAATCAAAAGAAAATCTCATGGGTTCCTGCAGGAGACCAGCAGCAGCAGCGTCAGCATGTCCTCTGCTCTCTTCCCAATTCGGGATTATCTAATCTCCCATCCAAAGCCAGATTCTCTGTGTGCCCCCTCTGCCTCTTCTATTCACTTCTCTTCTTCTCCACCTTAATGACTGCTTCTCTCCTAAATCACACTAACAGTACATAAATATTACTTATCTTACTTAAAAAAAAAACAAAACCCACAGCCCGGCACTGGTGGCTCACGCCTGTAATCCTAGTTACTCAGGAGGCTGAGATCTGAGGTTCACAGTTCAAAGTCAGCCTGGTCAGGAAAGTCCTGAGACTCTTATATCCAATAAACCACTAGAAAACCAGTAGTGGCGCTGTGGCTCAAGCAGTGGAGTCCTCGACTTGAGCTGAAGAGCGCAGGGACAGCGCCCAAGCCCAGAGTAAAAGGGCCATGACCAATAAATAAATAAATAAATAAATAAATATCACAACTTGCCTTTCATCCCAGTACACAATTTGCAGAAAATGCCTCAAGAAAGTTCAGATTTGTGTTTACAATCTCTTCCTGACCATCTCACTCTCCATTCCAGCTTCCATCCAACACTGCTCCCCCAGTTTATGATCAGATTGTAGGGCTCTCTCTTGCTGACCATGTGACACACTTAATCACAACGGACCACTGCCTGTGCTTGAACACCATGTCCCTCTTAGCTGACCTCTGACTGCACAAACTGCTCCTGGCTTCTTTGCTGGCTCCTCTTTTATCCTAAGCCCCAGTGACCTAGAGCTCAGTGCTCAGTCTTCTCTCTTCATGCCTTGGTGAGTTCAAGCAGTCTTAGGATTTTTCTTTTTTTCTTTTTTCAAGTTTCAGAGATTTATTAATCAGTGTAATAAATCCAACAAATCAACATAATTATGACATGCATTTACAGGAGATATTTCCTGGTGAAGTGGAAAATTGTGCGGATGGCTTCTGAAAGACCTTCATTTTAAGCAGCATTATTGTGACTTTTTTTAAATTTAGAAGTCTGGACCTTCTTTCTTCAGTTTGCTGTAGTCTACATTCACAGAGTAGAACTTGTACTGATCATTGGGACCCAGTTTGTTCCAGGGTTCTGGGTTATTCTTCCTGTCCCAACAGACATCTGGATTGAACAGGGCCAGGTGTGCCACATACAGGGCTGCTCCAGTGCCTCCCGCTCCAATAAATACAAAGAGGGGGATCAAGCTCGGAGGCTTCTTGGCCTGACTGGTGATCTGAAGGAGCATGTTTGCAGCAGAGGCTTGACATTCAAAAAGGATAAACAAATGTTCCAGGCACGAGACTTAAGCCGTCTGCGAACCCTAGCCGGGTTCGGACGTCCAATAGTCTTAGGGTTTTTCAATCCCAGTCACTGTAGTTTAACTCTCAATGTACTCCCTTCCCCTTATTTCCACACCCTAGCATCAAGGTGTATGTTACACAGTTTGTCTATACTTAGCTATGCTACCTTGTGGCATGTCATAATTTAGTTTATGGCATTCTTTTCTTTCTTTCGGTACTTACATTTTTTTGTCTGTGTTATGAACTACAGCACTCTAGATTTGATGATTATGGTGTAAACTGACAGCTTTGAAGTTGCTATCTCAGACTTTTTCCTGAACTGCAGACTTGTATGTCTATCTCATACTCGACATTTCCTCTTGGATGTTAACAGCTGTCTCAAACTTAACACGTCCAACCCCGAACGCCTGATCTTCCTGTTCCACCTGCTGTTTCAGGTGATGACAATTCCTTCCTTCCAGCTGCCCAGGCCAAACCCCTGTCATCCCCGACTCCTCTCCCACACCTCACATCTAGTCCATCAGGAAATTCCGCTGGCTCTATCTCCAGTTTATCTCAATCAGTCCTAACACTTGTCACTTCCATTGCTCTCATCCTCTCCCAGGGCCCTCAGCACTCTCACCTGCAGCGGTGCTTTGGTGAAGGTAGGAGGCACCTAGGGACCTGTAAACATGCAGATTTGGGTTCAGCTGGCCCAAGTGAGGCCTGAAAGGCAGCACTCCCCCTCTGCAGCTCCGTGGTGACTTCCCAACTCCTCAGGCTCTCTTTCTACACCAATCCTCATTACACAGCACCTTTCCTTTGCCCCCCTCTCTACCCTGCTTATCATTACTTCTTTTTATTTTTTGGTGTTTTTCTTTTTTTAATTCCTGAAGATTCTAGAAACTCATCTCATCCAAGATCCCATAGCTCAGAACTAGGACCAGGATTCAAATGCAGGCCTCTAGAAGAGCTACATCCAAAGTTCTAAGGAAATAACTAGTAGCCAGGTATGGTGGCACAAAGGTATAATGCCAGCACTCAGGAGGCAGGTGCAGGAGGATTGAGTTTGAGGCCAGCCTGGGCTACAGTAGAGAGGCCCTATCTCTATAAACAAAACAAACAAACAAACCCACCAAAATACACCGAGAAGACTAAGCTTCGATTTTTCTTTCCCTTGTAGTGTTGGGATCAAATCTAGGGCCTCAAGCTAATATGCAAGTATTCTACCTTTCAACTATATTCCCAACTCTTAAACTTCTAATTTAAAAGTAACTGTTTCCCTTTCTTTCAAGAGTGCTGATCCTGGAGCTTGAACTCGGCCTGTCCCTTAGCTTTTTTACTCAAGGCTAGCACTCTATCACTTGAGTCATGGCTTCACTTCTAGCTTCTTGCTAGTTAATTGGAGATAGGAGTCTCATAGGACTTTTATGCCTGGGCCAGTTCTGAACCACAATCCTCAGATCTCACCTCTTGAGCCACTGGCTCAGTCTATACTTGTACTCTTGCAACAAAATTTATGTAAGTTTATATAAAACTTCTACTTTTTTACTTCTTATCAAGATTTTTAGTGTGATACTGTTTTCTGTTGAGGAAAATATATGCAAATGATTATGAAATTTTTTTCTTATTTCGGTTTTACCTATATGTTCATTCATATACCAACAAAACTTTCACACAGAATCCCAGGTTCTGATTTTTCTTTTCTATATGTTTCTTTTTCAGTTACAGTGCATAAAAAATGTAAATACAAGCTGGGCGCTAGTGGTTCATGCCTGAATCCTAGCTACTCAGAAGGCTGAGATCTGAGGATCACGGTTCAAAGCCAGCCTGGGCAGGAAAGTCTATGAAACTCTTATGTCAATTAACCACCAGAAAACTAGAAGTGGCACTGTGGCTCAAGTAGTAGAGTGCTTAGCTTGAGCTGAAGAGCTCAGGGACCATGCCCAGGCCCAGAGTTCAAGCCCCAGACCAAAAAAAAACCAAAAAACCTTAAATACATAAGCTATGAGATTTTAAGATCAAGTTATTATTAGCCTGGAAAATATTTTCCTTTTATAAAGTGTCACCTAAAAATCACATACAAGTATTTCTTGACAAATACATGTCAAGAAAATACCAAGAGGACAGTGTCATACTATTATCATTACATGTTGTAATTTTCTAGTAAATTGAAGTAACTTTCCTTAAGCTTCTTTAAACTAATGGCTTCATATCTTAAAAAGGACATTTCCTGGGCTGGGAAGGTGGCTCAGTGGTAGAGCACTTGCCTTGCATGCCTGAAGCCCTGGGTTTGATTCCTCAGCACCACTTAAGCAAAAAAAGAAAAAAGCCAGAAGTGGCGCTGTGGCTCAAGTGGTAGAGCGCTAGCCTTGAGCTGAAGAGCTGAGGGACAGCGCCC